TGCTCACAGCTGAGCAACCATCTTCCCGATTCGGGTCAGAAACGGCTGCAGCAGCTCGTTGCACGTCAATGTTCGTAGGAGCGAAGCGAAATATTGCTACATCACAACTGTCTGCGCAAATCTTCTGTGTTTCGTTAGCGTGTGTGCTACGCTAACAAGCATCTCTCTTTCTCCCTCTTTCGTGGAGAGCAACTGTCGTGGACAGTTGCCATGCTCGGCCAACGTAATCCTACTTCTCAAAATGTTGAATTTGGCTGCTGCAACGGCGGGCACAAAATATGTTGAGCAAGATAGTTCTGTGTTGGACAATGGGCGAAGGAAATCATCACGATAACCTAGACTCGTAGACACCAGCCACGCAACGGATATTCGGAGGAAAGATATAACTAGCCTGGAAGGATATCCATCGCGAATGGGTGAATAGAGAACATGCTTCTGATAACGAAACCCTCTGTTCTCTCATCGATCGGTCTGCCGTTGCTATTCGGATGCAACGCACCCGAGGAGCAGCAAGACATTCTTTTCAAATCAATGAGAGGCGTGGGAAATGTGCGAAAAAGAACGAGCGAGTTCGGAGGCTTCTTCTACGTGTACGAAGGAATGTAGTAGTCATGTGAAGATCCTCCAGTCTGGTATAGCTCAAACGTGCGAGAAAATACGACGCAAGTTGGAGGAAAGAATTAAAAGAAAATGCGAAGGATAGGATGGGAATGAATGTAGACGAAAATAGCACCTTCGGAGTGAATTCTGGACTGAGGGATTAATGAAAATAAGAGAACCTCTATGTGTGTGTGTGTCTTAGGTATAAGAATGTACATATATATACGCGCGCGCGTGCGCGTGTGTGTGTGTACGCACACACATACAAGATGTAAGTAGGAATTTTGATCTCTTTCGGGGGATTTGGAGAATTTGTTTGGAAAGGATTGTGGTATCGCTGTCCGCGTATTGGAAAAGAACGCAAGCAAACTGAATTCGGAGGAATATTTTAATCAGACCGGAGATGAGCGACAAAAGGAAATTCAATCGACTTGCATTTCCTGACGGATTTGAGAACGAGTGGTTTGTGCTCCAATTCCATTCAAAGCTGGATTTGGAACGAAAATTGATCCTTGGTTAGTTTAATGGAAAATGCAATTATTCGAGTATGGGCATAACTGGGATATACGGATAAAACAATTGGAAAAGGGAAGAAAGGAAATGGAAAGAAAAAAAAGAAAAGGAAAGAAAAGAAAAGGGAAGGGAAGGGGAGAAATATTTGTGGGAAATGCGTGGACGTCGGTTCAAGACTTTTATCGGTGATTTTGGTCGTCAACCTGGCATTGACGCCTCGTCATCGGGACTTTGAATAAATTTCTGAAACGTATACAAATCAGGTGAAAATGGTAGAGACAAGAGGCGTAAATATACGTAAAACAGATGGAGGCCTTCGCGAAATAGAGGAGCTGTTGACGCCGTGATGCTGCTTAAGCTCTACCGCGGCACCGATTGGTCAATGAGCAACCCTGCAGAGGGGTGAAACGGCCGCGAAACGGAGAGGACTGCGACGTCTGCAAACCCGAATTATCCTAAGAGACCACAAAGTGTATATACGTATTTTATGCAACGAGTAACGTGCGCAGCTAGTTACTCTTGCCTCCGATATCAAGTATATTTCTTCCCGATGATGCATCTACTCAGCCGAGTAAACCATCGAGGAGACAGTCCAACCTTCTCTTTTTATTTTCCTCTTTTTCTCACCTTCCGCGCGAATGCAAAATATTGCGTGAATTAAAACGCAACTCGTTCCTCCCGAGAGAACGAAGCTGGATCAAATTTTCTCTGAAATTTTCTGGAAAATCCGAAGATATTTCATCACGAGGCGATCTTAGAGCGTTGGACATTTCCTCTCTAGCAAATCTGTGGTAAATCTCTGGTCGTGTAATTACCGAAGAATCGTCTATAGCTCATTGGAGGGTGAGCGCGTGAATCGATTTTTGACAACATTATTTCCATTCCAAGGTCTCATCGATACACACGATGACCAATTTGAATACGAGTTTCTCGATGTTAGTTCAGAAGAGCATAGCGTTACTTAAACATCGGAGCTTGTCCAGGATTATCGCCGTAAATACAGCACTATGTGGGAAACGTTGTGTACTGCGATGATAAAAACTACAGCGTTAATACAACTCGCCTCATGGGGAACATTCGTCCAAATCGAACCTCCGTCGCGCATGGCAGTGTGACATCGTTTTAGTTAGTAACAATTAGTTATTAATAGCTAAGAAAAGGAAACGTTGAAACGGGTGATTCGCGGGAGTTGAAAGTCTCTAAAGAGAGAGAAACGTTGGCCATGAATCCTATGTGATGTGTTGTCAGAATGAATGTAGAAAATTTTGAATGCTCACATGAGGACCCCATTTCACGTATCGGAAATCCGTAACATTCCAGGCTTGTTAAATAATATTTGATAATATTTACGACCCAAGAAACGGCGTTCATTGCGAATCCCGCAATGCGTAGACTAATGTAAGACAAAATCTATACTGTATACTGAAAGGAGGAATGAGGAAAATTTTAAACAGATATAGGTAAATAACATTCCACGTGGCTATACACCGTAGTATTCCAGGCGCTGCAGATATAATTAGAGGATATTTGTGACCACAGAAATTGTGGACATAGTGAACCTCGTGATGCGTAGAACATTATTAGGCCATAGAAACGATATAATAAATGGATAGAACTGATAGGGAAGATTTTGAATGGTCACATGTAAATATTATCCCACTTACCGGTACACAGTATAACTTCATGTTCAATAAATATTATTAGATTATTCTTCAGTACAAAATGATACTTATAAAGAAAAAAATTGTGTTCATTGTGATCCCCGCAGAGTGTAGAATGATATGAGACCATCAGATCGAAATTATATGTTTAGAATGACTAACGAAAGTTTTGAATTTTCACATTTATGCCCTGAAACTGAAGAACAGCAATAATTCGGGGTTAATAAATAATATTAGATAATCGTTGTGTTTTAAAGAATTGTCTTCAATGTTTTCCACGGTACGTATAATGGTATAAAATAATCAGATATTGATAATATACTGACAGAATGAATATCGAAGATTTTGTAGTCATATGTAAAATACGAAAAGTACCGAGTACTCTAATATTTCGGGGTCGATATATAATATTAGACCGATGTTATGAATTAAAGATTTGTGTTCATTTTAATCAGCACGATGCGTAGAATGACACGAGACCGTCAGATCCAGATATTAAATTGACAGGATGCTGGTAAAAAATAGTGAATTATCATAATTAACCGTCGAAACCTACCGGAGGACCGTAACAGTCGGGGACGATGAAGAGTATCATATCGTCGGTATATATAAAAATAATTAAGTTCATTGTGTACCCTGCGGTTCGCTGAATTATTTATGGCAGCCAGATCGAGGAAACATATTCACAGAAAGAAAGTCAAAGTTTTGAATTGCCATGTAATCCTTGAACCGTACCGACACATTTCGGGGTCGATAAATAATATTAGAATGTCGTTATACATTAAATAGCTGAGTTCATTGTGAACACTGCGATACGTAGAATAATGTAAGGAGAACAGATCGAGACAATATATTGACAGAATAATTGTCCAATATATAGATTTTTCATATATATGCCCTAAACGGTATCGAAAGGCCGTAAAAATACGGTGTAGATGAAGAATATTAGATAGCGATTATGCATTAAAAAATTCATTCAATGTGATGCCCGCGATACGTAGAATAATATAGGGAAATCAGAGGGTGACAATGTAATCATAGAGTGAATGTAGAGTATTTTGAATGACCATATGTAAGCCCCAATTCGTACCGGAAGAGCGTATTATTTCGGGGACGATAAATAATGTAGGATCGGAGTTACACATTAACAAAATTTGTTCGTTATGATTCCCATGCTGCGTAGAATACAATAAGAAACTCAGTGGGATGCGATCTAGTGTGAATGTTGAAGAACTGAGTGATCACACGTATGTATCGATTCGTATTGGTGGATGGTATTACTTCGGGGAATATGAATAAGACTAGACCGTTTTTTTATATTAAAAAAATTTTTCAGTGTAGATAATATGGTGATAGAATGAATGTAGAATGTTTTATGACTGATCATATGTAAACTCCGATCCGTATCGGAGGAGCATAATATTTCGGGGAAGGTAGATAATACTAAATCGATGCTATAAATAAACAAATTTGGTCACTATGATCCCCGCGATGCGTAACATACTACAAGAACGTCAGATCGAAGTAATGTAATGATAGAGTGAATGTGGGATATTTTTAATTGTCATAAATAAGTCCCGATCCGCACCGGAGGAGCGTTGTACTTCGTTGTTGATAAATAATATCGAATCGTCGTTATATATTAAAAAATTGAGTTCATTGTGATCCGTGCGATGCGTATTATAATGTAAGACCATCACAGGAAGATTATATATTGATAGAGAGTCTGTAGAATATTTTGAATTATCATATGAAAGCCCCGATCTGTACCGAAGGAGAGTATTATTTCGGTGTCGATACATAATATGATGTCAGTGTTTCACACTAAAAAATATGTTCACTGTGCTTCAGGAATTGCAGGCAATAATACAAGACTATCAAAATGGGATAATCTATTGATAGAGTGAATGTGGAAAATTTTGAATAATCATATGTATGTCCCGGTCAGTATTGGAGAATCGCAATATCTTCACTCTATCAATTTAGATCAAACATTTCGATCAAATAATATTATAGTAATTGCTTCAGCCAATACAGGTAATGATGAAATTAATAAAATTACAGTAATTGAAATTGATTATGAAAATAAATTAATTTAAGCGTAATTTAATGAAAAATTTTTTATGATAAAAATTGTTACAATAGAATTTAGTGATCCTAAGATTGATGAAATTCCGGTTATATGAATAGAAAAAATAGTAAAATCTACAAATAGAGATGAATGATTTAAATATAATGATAAAGGAGGATACACAGTTCATCCAGTTCCTGAATTAGGAAAAAATAGATTATTTAATAAAAGTAATAATAACGATGGAGGTAGTAATCAAAAACTATTATCATTTATTCGTGGAAACGCAATATCCTGTGATCCTAACATTATTGGAATTAAAAAATTTCAGAATCTCCCAATTATAAAAATAACTATAAAGAAAATTATTAAAAATGCATGACTTGTTGTAATAATTGAATTCTAAATTTGATCATTATTGATTCATATCCCTGGTCTATTTAATTCTATTTGAATTAATATTCTAAAAGGCGAACCATTAATTTCTGATCATAAGGCAGAAATTATATATAATATTCCAATTTTTTTGTGATTAGTTGATATCAATCATTTGTTTATATAAATTTATTTTAAAATTCTTTAAATTTTGAATATTACGAGTTGACAATTACTTAAAATTTAATATTATGTCTGGAAAAAAAGTATATTGTAAATTTATTAATAAAGATAAAAATTCTTTCAATATTAATATGTTATACACATAAAATCTATAATATATAATATATTAAATCTATAATTTATATATATAATCTAAAATTTATATAGTAGAATATTTTTTTGAAGATTAATAGTTTAGATAAACTTAAAATTTTGTATAATTATATTCTACACACACACACACACACACACACACACACACACACACATTAATATAAAATACATTAATTAATTATTTTTTAAATTTCTTCAAACATGCATTTAAGATTTTATTATAGTAAACCATAATTAAAATTACTTAAAGTTAAATAACTTAAAGTTAAATAAGATAAATATAGATGTTTAAAAAAATATAATTGATACTATAAATATATTTATTTTCAAATTCATTTACTTTATAATAAATATAAAAACTTTTTATTAACTATTCTTTTATAATAATTAAATATTTTCATAATAATAGCAGATTTGAAATTAAGAGCAATAAGTACAAAAATAGCATTTTTGTATATCTATATTTTTTAAATTCATATAATAAATTTCATTTCAATGAAAATCTTATTAACAAAGGTAATATAGAATAAATTAACATTCATATTTTGAATAGATAATTAATGATTTCAAAATTAAGTATAATAAACACTTTTCTATAATTGAATTTTATTAATAAGTGAATTAAGATGTACAGAACGATTTAATATAGAATTGTAAATAGAATAAATTGTTTTGTATTTAATATAAATATAAAAATTAATAAAAATTATTAAAAGATGTTGAACATGCAAATAGTTTTTTTAAAGAAATATTAATATTGACATATAATGATATAAAAATTCTGTTTAAAATTAACAATATAAGTATATTACTTCAGAAATTTAAAAAATGATAAAAAAATGAAATACGAATAAATTTTATAATTGAAAATAATAAGAAAATTTGATCCCATGATGATTTTCCATAACAGTAAATTATTCAGTTGTGAAATGGAAATATACATAATTTAATAAACATTATTAGTATAATATAAAATTCAATAAAAACTTAGAATTTAAGAATGATATTGTAATTGAATTATTGTAAAAAATAATAAAATAAATAAAGTAATAATTGGTGTACAAATTGCCAGTCAGTTTCAGAAATAAGTCGTAACATAGTAGAAGTACTGAAAAGTGTTTTTAGATAAAATTTTAGTTTATATGAAACTAATTATTTATATTAAATAGAATTAATGTTATTAAAAATTTTATTCAATAACATAAATTTATTTATTCTTAATAATTTATTTATATATATAAACAATTTTAATAAAATTATATAATAGCAGAATGTTTTAGTAAGTATTTTTAATTAATTATATTATTTATATAAAAGTAATGAAAATGAAATTTTTTAAAATTATATAAGTAAAATTGATTTTATATCTTTTGTATCAAGGTTAATTAATTTAATTTAATAATTTAATAATCTCGAAAGTAAATGATCTAAATATATATAAATTAAATTAATTGTTTTTGTAAAAAAAAAATATCAATACATCCTCCATATCCATCCAACATATCCTCCTCCGGTAAGGATAGGCTCATACATGAGGACATTCAAAATATTCCACATTCATTCTATCAATCTATTACCTCGATCAGATCTCATATCATTACACACTGTTACCAAAATAAACTAATTTTTTTAATGTACAACAACGATTAAGTATTATTTATCGTCCCAGAAGAAATACGTTTCTTCAGTACACATCGTGAAACACATATGATAATCCAAAATATCCTACATACGTCCTATCAAAATATTATCTACATTTGATGGTCTTACATCATTCTATGCATCGCAGGTAGCAAGTGCAACAAAATTATTTATATAGAAAGGCGATTTAGTATTATAAGCTGCTCCGTTACCGATCACGCCGAGAATTAGCCTTCGGTTTTAGCCATCAAGACGAGAAAATTAGATGTTAGGTCGAGAAACGACATTCGATGTTAGCCATAAAGCTGAGATACAAATTTCGAAGCTAAGCGTCAGGCCGAGAATCTTGCTTCGATGTTAGACATCAGGCCGAGAAACATCCATCGTTGTTTGCCACCCTGCCGAGAAACGTACTTCGATGTTAGCCATCAGAGTGAAAATGACATTTAACGGTGCCCATCTGGCCTAGAAATGACATTCGGTTTTAGCTATTAGACCGAGAAATAACTTTCGACTTTATCAAACAGGCAGAGATACGATCTTCCATATTAGCAGACGGGCCGAGAAATGAACTTCGTTGTTAGCCGTCTTGCCGAGAAATGTCATTCGAGGTTAACCATTAATTCGAGGAGCGTAATTCGATGTTAGGCGTCAGGTAAAGGAACGTCCGTCGATGTTATCCGACAGATCGAAATTATCCCTCGATGTTAGCAATGAGGCCGAGAAATGTTCTTCCATGTTAAATATCAGGCCAGGAATTGTACTTCGATATTAGCTATTAGACCGTGAAACGAACTTCAATGTTAGCTATCTGGGCGAGAAGCGACCTTCGATGTTAGGCATCCGGTGGAGAAATGACATTTTACATCTGGCCGATAAGATTCTTTTCACGTTATCCATCATTGCCAGTTTTATTATTCGATGATTGCCATCAGGACAAGGAACTTTCTTCGATGTTAATATTCGTGCAGCGAAATTCGGTCCGATGTTAGCAATTATGCGGAAAAACCCCAATCGATGTTAGCCATCCGGCTGAAAAAACTACTTCGATGTTAAACATCAGGCGGAGGAACGTAATACGATGTTAGCCATATGGCTGAGAGACAACTTCAATATTGGCCATCAGGCAGAGAAAAGTACTTTGATGTAATTCTGATGGCCGAGAAGCAACTCCAATGTTGCCCATAAGGTCGAGAACATTCTCTCGATGATAGCTATTATGCCGAGAAATGAGCTTCGATATCCATCAGGCCGGGAAATGAACTTTGATGTCAGAAATTAGGCCGAGAAACAAGATACGATTCTATACATGAGGCTAAAAAATTCATTCGATCTGTGCCATCTGCCCGAGAAACGTCTTCCCATGTTAGCAATCATGAGAAACGAACTTCGACGTTAACAATCAGGCCGAGATTCCTACTACGATGCAAGCCACCAGGCCGAGAAACTTCCTTCGTTGTTAGCCTTCAGGCAGAGAAACATCCTTCGATGTTTGCCATCATGACGAAAAATTTCCCTCAATTTTTATCATCAGGCTGAGAAAGCTGTCTATATCGGCCATCAGGGCAAGAAACGAATATCGATGTCATCCATCAGGTCGAGACCGTATTCCGAATTTTGACGTCAGAACGAGAAGCTTCCTTAGATGTTAGCCATCAGGCCGAAAGACTTCCGTAGACATCTGACCGGGAGGCTTCCTTCGATGTTAGCTTTCAGGGCAAGAAAGGTCCTTCAATTTCAGCCATCAGGCCGAGGAAAATCTTTCGATGATAGCCATTCTGCCGAATATCGTACATTAATATTAGCAATCACACCGAGAAGCGTAGTACGGTGTTAGACCACAGGCCGATTATCTTCCTTCGATGTTTGCCATCAGGCCGAGAAATGACCTTCGATGTTATTAATCAGGCCGGTAAACTTCCTTCGATGTTAGCCAGAGGCCGAAAATCGTACAACGATGTCAGACATCAGACCGAGAAACTTCCTTCGTTGTTGGCCACCAGGACATTTTTTTGTTCGCAAAATCATTTAAAATTATCTAAGGAACCTGATATACGGATACGTGAAATGAGGTTTAGATATAGCCATGTAAATTTTTCAACAATTATTCTTCCAAAATTTCATATCGATTTTATTGTGTTACCTTATTGTACGCATCGTGGGATTGGAAATGAACGGGATTACATATGTGAATACAAAACATTCCACAATCATTCTGTCAATATACCATCTGTTTTATTGTGTTATTTTACACATTGCGGGACTCGCAAAGAACGCCATTTTTTTGTTCTTAAATATTACATTATATTATTAAATTAGCTTGACATATTACGGAATTGAGGTACGTGGAATAAGTTTTACATATGACCATTCAGAATTTTTCACATTGATTATGTCAGTATATCATACTTATTACATGGCCTAATAATATTCTACGCACCGCCGTGTTCAAAATGAGCACCACTTTTTGCATATTAATATCATTTAAAGTTATTTATCGACCCTGAAACATTACGGAGATCCGTTGTAAGGAATCAGCTATGTTTACGGCGATTCAAAACTCTCCATATTCATTCTGCAAATATATGATATTGTTTTCATTGCCTCATATTTTCTACGCATCGCAGTTCACAATGAACACCATTTTTTTGTACATAAATATCATCTAATATTGTTTACAGCTCTGAAACTTCACGGAGATCTGGTGCGAGGAGTCATAAATATCATCTAATACTATCTATCGCGTCATGTTTACATTTGAGAATTCAAAACATTCACATTCATTCTGTCAATATTCGATCGATTTCATGGTTATATAACTGGTTATATAGCTATAATTTTCTACGCATCATGGGTTTCACACAAGGCGCCATTTTTTGTACATGAATATTATTGTTTATAGAGCCTGATACTTCGGAGTACCTCTACTTGGAATGAGGTTTAAGTATGTCCGTCCAAAATTTTTCAAATTCAATCTATATCAGTCAATATATCAAATCTATCTTACGTTATTTTACACATTGTGAGATTCTCAATGAACGCCATTTGTAGTTCGCGAATGTCATCAAGTATTTTTTAAACAACTGAAATATTACTTGTATCCAAAACGTGGAAAGAGGTTTAAATACAATTCAAAGTTTTTGGCAGTAATTCTGACAATATATCTTATACATTATACGGCCTTATTTTATTCTACGCATAGCGGTGTTCACGATGTCTATCATTTTTGAACATAAATATCATCTAATACTATCTATCGCGTCAGAAATATTACGGAGTTCACAAATGTGGATTGAGGTTTACGTATGACCATTCAAAATTCTCCACTTTAATTCTGTTAATACATCATATTGATTTTATCGCCAAATAATATTCTACGTAACACGGGGTTCACAATTACCGCTATTTCTTTGTAAATAAATATCATTTAATGTTGACTATCGCGCCTCAAATGTAACGAAGAGCAGCAACGTGGAACGCTGTTTATACATGGCAGTCCAAAGTTTTCTGTATTCATTAAGTCAATATACCTTATGATTTTATGGTCTTGTATTACTCAACGCATTGCGGTACCCGCATTGGACGCCATTTTTGTTCGTAAATATCATCCATATACTATTTAAGTGCCTGAAATATTAAGTATTTTCGGTAAGTGGAATGTGGTTTACATATGACCGTTCAAAATTTTGCACTTTCATTCTGTCGATATTTCATATCGATTTTATGGCCTTATAAAATTCAACATATCACGGCGATCACAATGACCATCATTTCGTTGTACGTGAATATCGTTTAATGTTATTTATCCCACTTGCAATATTACAGAGTAGAGGAAAGAGGAATGTTGTTTACATATGTTACTTGAAAGTTTTCCACAGTCATACTATCAATATACAATATCGATTACATTGCCTTTCATTATTCTATGGATTGCAGGATTCGCAATGAACGCCATTTTTTTGTTCGTAAATATCATTTAATGTTATTTAACTAGCCCAATTTTGTACGGAATTCTGGTACGTTGAATGAGATTTACATATGACAATCCAGAGTTCGTCACAAGCATTCTGTAAATAGATCATGTCGATTTTATTGTCTTACATTATTCTACGCTTCACGCGTTTCTCAGTCAACGTCATTTCTTTGTACGCAAATATTGTCTAATGTTATTTATTGAGCCTGAATTGTTACGGATTTCTGATACATGGAATGAGGTTTACATAAAACAATGCAAATATTTCTACAATAATTGTATCAATAAATCATATCCATTTTACGTCTTATATTATTCTGGGCATCGTAGGATTCGCAGCAAACGCCATTTTTTTCTACGTAAATAGCGCCTGATATTACTTATAGCTTCTGAATTGTTACGGACTTCAGGTACTTGTAATAAGGTTCACGTGTGACAATTCGTATTTTCCACTCTCTTTCTTTCAATATTTCAAATCGACTTATGGCCTAATAAAATTCAACGCATCACGTGGTACACATTTGACAACCATATCTTTGTATATAATATCATTTCCTGTAATTTATATCGACTGAAATATTACGGGGTACAGCAATGTGGTGTGTTGTTTATTTACGTCAATTCAAAATTTTATATATTCGTTTTATCAGCATACCACATTGATTTTTTGGTACAACATTATTCTGAGCATTGCGGGGTTTGCAGTCAACGCCTTTTTTTGTTCGTAAATATCACCTAATATTATTTAAAGAGCCTGAACTATTACGAATTTCTGTTACACCGAATTGTTTTTATATGGTTATACTCCACGTTAATTCTGCCAATATATCATATCGATTTTATGGCCTAACAATACATAGCGCGTCACAGGAATCACAAATACCGCCCTTTCTTTGTACATCAATACCATACAATATTATTTTTCGTGTCTGAAATATTACGGATTG